CTCGGAAGAGGGTGACAGGTCCCCACGGCCCGATGCACTAGGATCCCTTGTGAAATGGCTTAAACTGCAGCCGCAAATTGGACGCTATTTCCGTTTCAAGGGATTTGCTGCCTAAATCCTTTAAAAAGAGAACTCCTGTGTTTGATTTACCGAAATTCCGTGAGCACCCAGCTTCCTGGACGGTGATATAGAAGGAACATTTTGGGCAGGATAGAGGAGCCCCAGGAGTGGGGATGGGGGCAGGAGTGGGGGCCAGATGGGCAGAACTCCAAACCCCGTGACAGGGTCCCTGGGCTTTTCCCTAGAGAAGTCTGTTGATTAGAGACCAAAATGATGCTGATAAAGAGAGGAAAATGAGGGGAGAGAAGCTGCCACACTACGCGCCTCTGGTCTGTTTCAGGAGAGGTAGAAGGCTGAAGACTTAAGGATCATGGATTGGCTGGCACAGCAGCAGGTTTTAATCCCGTCCACGAGGCTCCCATCCCACCCAGGTGGAAGGGCTTTGGAATCCACTGGCATCTCTTAATCCAACCCTCCTTCCCAGTTCCCATTCTCCTAGAGTCTGCCCGCCCTCCTGCCCGGGCCCCGGGACCAGCACCCAGGTGGGTGGGGTGGGTGCTTCAGCCCACGGGCTCCTCTGAGTGGGAACCCTTGTCACCCCACATGGGAGGGAATTCTGAAACCCGACTTTTTCCAGTGCCTTTTAGGGGGTAGAACGAAACATGTGGCATGTTTGCCTCCTGATTCCCGCCTCCCAGGACGTGACTTGGGGTTCCCAGTGGGTCCTTGTGGGCCAGATCCTGGGTCTGTCGGTTGGTGGGTCGGTCAGACGGTCGGTCGGTTGGTGGGCTGGGCGGGGGGAGGGGAGAGAAAGGAAAATGAGTGATCCTGGGGCAAGAGCAGGGCACACACCTTGTTTTGCTTAATGCAGAACTTTGCTTTTGATCCTGGGACAGTCGTTACCCAGCGCAGTGGGCTTCATGGAGGGGGTTCATTTCGGAGCAGAGGGTCTGAACACAGCCTGGCCAGGGTCCCCTCCCACGCTGCTCCGCTTGCAAAGACCAGGCTCGGGTCCGCGTCCCTGGGAGGAGGTCTCAGAGGCAGGCAGTGCGGCCACCCTCTCCCTTTCCTGAATCTGCACCATCTGGAATGGTGACATGTTGCCAGGTGGTGGCCCGTGCCACTGGCTCCCAGGAAATGGTCTCCCTCCGGGGCCGGGAGCTGGGGACTTCAGGGCAGATGAGGTTCGGGGGAGGGAGGCCCCGGAAGAACTGGCTGGTGGGCAAACCTGGATGGCTCTTGAGTGCCTAGGCGCCACTGCCTCAGCCCCTCCCCTCCCTCTGCTTCTCCAGATGTGCTGTCAGCCAGCTCGTCCACCCCCTGGACCACAGGACGCCAAGGTTGGATGGAGACTGACATTAGCTCAGCTGACATCCTGCATGCTCTAAGCGTCCCCACGGGACAGTGGTCCCTCCCTGGATGCTGAGGGCTCTGAGGCCATTCCAACCCTTCTCCCTCCTCGGGGGCCTTCCGACCCTCCAACCTCACCGGAGTCCAAGCTGTTAGGCTCAGGGAGACTGATTGATAGACCTGACCCGGACGTCCCTGATAGTGGTGCGACGTACAGTCCTGGAGCCGCTGGCTGTTCGAGCGGGAAGAACCTTCAGAGTGTCTCTAGTTTGGAATTGCCCCCGCTGCGTTCCCGGGGCCGTCAGTGGGAATTGCTAGGAAAACCAGCCCTACAGTCAGAGAGACCTGTGGGGTAATGGTGGAGGCAGTTGAGAGAAGTAGATCAGACAGAGTGTAGGCTCTGGACTAGACGGCCCCATTTAAAAGCTTTGCTGCTTAGTAGCTGTGTGGCCTTGGGCAATTACTTAACCTCTCTGTGCTTTAGTTTGTCCTAATGGGGACTTGGAATCGTGTACATACCTACCTCGGGCTTAATGTGATGATTCAGTGAGGCGGTCCCCAGGATGTCACCATGATTAATACACGCTGGCCTAACAAAGCCCTGCAGGTTTTCTTTCCTGCAGGACTTCTCAGAGCCTTTGCTGTGATGATGAATATGGTGATTACCAAGACCACGATGGGGATCTAAAAACATCCTTTCACACGTGCCCACAGAACTTGTGTTATCTCCCCAGACAGGTGTTCCAGGAGATATAGTTTGAGATTCCAGAGCCAGTCTGTGTTATCATAAAAGAAACGAAAACCGGAGCATTGAGGCGAGCTGCCCACGGTCATGCAACAAGTATAGAAAGGCAGAATTGGAGCTAGAATCGAGGTCCCTGGACTCCCCTCCCAGTGTTCTTCCTAATATGCATCATTGCTTTCACCATCAGAGCAATGGCACCGAAGACAGTAGTGCAGCAGCTAACACTCACTGAGCGTCTGCTTGATGCCAGGCATTGTGCCAGGCTCCTCATATGTGTGATCTCACTTAACCTTCGAACAGGTAGGGGCCATACCAAACCCACTGCACTGAGCTCAGAGAGGGCGAACCATATATTCAGCACTACACAGCATCCTGGCAAATGGCACAGCCAGAACTCAGACCCACGTCTGCCTGGCCCCGAGGCCCCAACTTCACCACCCCCTGGCATGCATCTTGAAGGTCCAATGGCAGAACTTTAGGCCTGAGCCCGGGGTGGCGCCCCAGAAGTTCCCATCTATTGGCCCTACCTGCTCCTCTCAGGACGGCTGGGTGTGGAGGTTCCCCGGCGCTGGCAGCCGCCCCCAGCCCAGGCCTCCAGGACTGACTGCTCAGCACCGGCTCTCCTGCCAAATGATTTTGGCCCAGAGATGGGCTTGGCGGCCGCTCTGATGGAAGCTGCTCTGAGCTGAGAGCCTCTTGTCGGCCTGAAATCAGGACGAGCTCTCAATGCGCTCCCCTCGGGGGCTCCCTATTAAATAAAGATGTCTGCAGCGGTTCCACCAAAAGGCCCCTTTGTCTGAGGCCCTCGCGGCCCACGCGGCCTCTGCCCCCAGAATGCCGGTCTCTGTCGGCATGAAGAGCCTCTGTGTTCACCGCTGGTGCTGGGCGAGCTGCAGCCCGGCGGGCTCTGCGCCTGGCGGGTGGCGGTGTGCTGAGCAGGGAGGGTGCTAGCGCTTGGCCCCTGGAAACCTGCCCTGCACCCCCTCCCTGTCCCTGTCCGGGAGGGGACCCTGGCAGCCACTCTGTGCACACAGAGCCCAGGTCCCTGTAATGGGCTCCTCCTGCCTCCTCCCCATCCCAAGCCATTCGTGTTTCCTCCTGACCCTCCGGCCTCCTGCTAGGAGCACTGGGTCTGCACATGCCTGCTTCCCACTTCTCTCCATGTCCCTGTCTCTCTGTCTCCAGCTCTCTCTCCTTTCCCCCACCCTCTCTCTGTCTCTGTCTCTGTCTGTCTCTGTCTCTCTCTCTCTCTCAAATATTTTTTTTATTGATTTTAGAAAGGCAGAGAGAGGAAAACATCAATGATGAGAGAACATCATTGATTGGCTGCCTCCTGCATGCCCCCTACTGGGGATTGAGTCCACAACCCAGGCATGTGCCCTGATTGGGAATCAAACTTTGATTCCCAGCCAGGGCACATGCCTGGGTGCTCAACCACTGAGCCACATCAGCTGGGCCTCTCTGTCTCTTTTCCTCTCTTCTTCCTCAGTCTTTCTTTCCCTTTTCCTTCTATCCTTCCTGGGGAAGAAAACAGCACATACCACGTGTGTTAAATGAAAACTTGAACTCTGTGGGGGCAGCTTCCACCCATCCTACCTTCTGAGCACAGTATCCCCAGGGTACACAGAGACATGGGGACAAAATGGGCAACACGTCATCAGGTGTGCTGTGGTGGGCACAGGGCTGTGTCTGGCTCATCCCTGTACCAGGCCACAGCCCCGTATCAGGCACACATGGAAAAACCTCCATTCTTTGTCACATCATTGGAGAGTCAGGGGGCCTAGGACAGTGCCTGACATGTGGTCTTCACTTATTAAATGTTAAATTCCCTTCCTTTCTGCTTCCTGGCTGTTCATGTGATCTGTTAGAGACTCATGGAAAGCCACAGGCTTTAGAAGGAACAGCTGGCAGTTGTGTAGTCTTGCCTTATATGTTTTGGTATAGGATCTTGTCTCATCTTGCCCAGGTGTGGGTTTGGCATTGAGAAGGGCCATTGTGGTAAGATGCCTCGTGCTCAATGCCACACTTGGATTGTTACCCGATCGGCTCCGAGAAGGATAAAACTAGCACTTCCCTCTTCCTCTACACAATCATTCTGTTGATGCAACCTAAGACCACGTGTGTTTTTATGCCCCATTATCATGTCCCACTTATTTGGGCTTCTGCACACGAGATCCCTTATTTATTCTTTCACTAGAGGCCTGGTGCATGAATTCGTGCACAGGTGAGGTAAATGGTTCATTGTGCAGCCCGTGTTCAGGGACTGTGGGCACCTGGTGCAGCTGGACTGTGGCTAGTGGGAGACAAGGCTGATGGGATTAAACCTTGGATTGTCAGGCTAGAGATCTTGGACTTTCTCTGGGGGCACATGGGAATTCTTTCAGGGTTCATGCTGAATGAGTCGTTCCCGAGGGCCCTGAGACCTAGGGTTCCGTGATCATTGTTTCCTTTTGATTGGCTGATTGTTTAGTTGCTTTGATTGGCTAGTTGGATGGTTGGTATTTGGTTGGTTGAATTGTTGGCTAGATGATTGGTTGGTTGGTTGACAGTATTTTTCATTATTTTTATTACTTGGCTGGTTGGTTAGTAGTGATTCATTGGCTGTATGGTTGGCTGATGGGGTGGATGGACAGAGGGAGAGTTGTTTCATTGATTGACTGATTGTGGTCTAGTTGTCTGGTAGGATGGTGGGTGGCTAGTTAATGACCTTCCTCAGCCCAGTTTTTGAGCCCCCCCCCCCCCCCCCCCCCCCCGCCAATCACTGTTGGCCCACATGGACCCTGGTTGTGGTTTTCCTGGTCCCAGTTTCATCAGGTCTAATGCCCTTTCTCCCATCTTCCCGCAGGCGCTTGTCCGGCTGCCTCCCCACATTTCACAGTGCGATGAAGTCTTTCAGTTCTTTGAGGCCCGACCCGAAGATGTCAACCCTCCGAAAGAGTAAGTGGCAGCTCCGGATGCTCCTGTGGGTCTGGCAGGTGTGGGAGAGGCAGGTGCCACGTGGCGATGGGGAGGAGAAATCCTGGAGGCCAGAGCGTGTGTCGCACAGCCCCAGGGGTGCCGTTCCGACCGCACTTCCTGTGAGTGGTGTCCAGGGAGGTTGTGGAGTGCACAGCCCGCACACCTGCACAGCAGTCCAGCCAACAGGGGCCCTTTTCCTTATTCGAGCTGTAAGACCAAGCCCAAGGTGGCCTGGACCCTTGAAGGAGGAAAAAGCATTGTCCGGCTCAGAGGCTCACCTGGCCTGACCGTGGCCGTCTCCCTTGCTGGCTGCCACAGGCTTGAGAAAAGGGCAAAGGCCCTTCAAAAATCCAGCGGTGACTTGGCTCACAATGTGGAGTCATTAGTGGAGACCCACCGGAATAGGACGCAGAGTCTTGCGTTCACAGTCCTCCTTCGCTGCCTGCGAGCCATGCCACTTCCTGAGCCGCTCTTGTCTCATCTGTACAGGGGGGTAGCGATTAAGCCCCGCCCTTGCTACCCCCAGGATTGCCTGTGAAACTCAGAGGACGCAAGGGCTGGGCAGGAGCTTGGCAGACGACAAAACGAGTTACAGATGTGTGTTCGCTCCAGAGGGGGAGACACCGCTCTCCCTGTACCTGCTACGTGCCAGGCTCGTGAGAGAGCTCTACATCCTGAGCCCCTCCCCCCCTCCATCTCAGAGAAGGAAATCCCCTCCCCCATCCACATCTCAGATGTGGATGCTCACAGCTGAAGCTGGGATGTGAGCCCACAGTTTGCTGATGTCATACAGAGGCCCATAGCCTTTCCACTCCTCCTGCCTTCCTGACCTGGGGTGGAGTTGGGGGATCAGGAGGTGGGCCTGGTGCCTCTCGTTGTGCCCTCTCTGTCCTGCCCCCAGGCTCTAAGACCAGCCGTGTCTGTCCCTGCCTGGCTCTGCTGTCCCCCAACTGGGACAACCTCTCGGAACCTCCTGTTCTCCTTCCTTCCATGGGGAGAGAGAGAATCCTTTCGGGGAGAGTTGCCATTGATTGGAGTCACTTGTGAGGGACATGGCTGGTGGGTGAAGCAGCAGGTGTATCACCACAAAATCAACGGACCCTGCCTTTGCTCTGTGCCCCTCAACCCCACTCTCTGCCAGTCAGCTGGGCAAACAGGCCTTTGGCAGGTGAGCCTTTTGCCTGTCTCCACAAGGCCCTGGAGGAATGGTGCCAACCAGGCTCAGGGAGACTGGGTACCTCACTGGGTACTGGCGAGGCAGCGGGCCTGGCTTTGCAGGGCCCGGCTCCCGCCTCAGGACCTGCCACCCACCATTGATCTCCCACCGTGATCTCCCACCATTGCTCAACCTCTATGCCTTTCTGTATTTCCCTAAAATGAGGTAATATGTATCTCAGGGAGGCCAAGGGGGCTTATGGAGTACTGTGCACTGAGATAACCTGGCCGGCGCCACTGGCACACAGGGCTGCTCCCAGTTTTGTCTGAGGAAGGCTGTGGAACAGAAGCGGGATATGGATGCTCTGCCTCTGCAGACCACAGCCTGGCCTTTTCAGGTGTAAAGCATCAGGCCTCCAAGCCACCACGGCAATGGTGTTATCTGCCTGTTTCTTGAGGAGGTATCTGTCGCCTCGGCTGGTTCACAATCGGTCTGGCCTGAGAACAGCCACCCCTCCAGGTCCAAGCAGGCCTGAGGCTCTGCAGGGGGGTTAGAGCTGCTGCCAGACGTGCTAGGCGGCTTCTCCTCCCCTGGCCTCACTCCGCCGCCTGCAGGGCCTGCCGCGAGAGGCCCACGTTCTCCTCCCCTGGCCTCACTCCGCCGCCTGCAGGGCCTGCCGCGAGAGGCCCACGTTCCGCTGGAGATTGTGCCCCCATAAGAGCCCAGCCCTGGAGGTGAAGCCTGGGCTGGCGGGCTGATGCTCTGTCAGCCTTGTGCCTGGTCCCCCTCCCTCGCAGACCTGCTTGCACCTTCCCAGGCCGCCATCCCGAACATAAACACGGGATCAAGTAACAGCGTGTTTTGACTCTGGGGCGACTGTGGAGTGGCTTATCAAATTATCAAAGCCTGTGGGTTTAATTGGAGTTCTGCAGATAACCCGGCCTCTTTCAAGTGTGCTGCTGCTGCTGCAGGGGCGCTGAGCGTTCACGGGGGCAGGGTGGGGGGTGGGGGCCGTGTCCCTTTCCCTCTTGCGTGTAAGGTGAGTCCTGCGGCCGCCTGGCCTCAGTGGGTGGGGGAGGTGGGCAGCAGGCCTGAGCCCTGGGCTTTGATCCAGGCCGCCTGCTGACTTCCTCGGTGGCAAGGGGGGCCCCCCTCCCGCCTGCTGGCTTTTCTAGACCACTGGCGCGTCCTCTCACTCCTAAGACCGTCCGGCGTGTACTGCTGCTGTGTGAGAGCAGGGCTGAGGTCAGCTGAGGCCCGTGGCATTATTTTATTTTATTCATTTATCTTTTAAAATATATTTTTATTGGTTTCAGAGAGCAAGGAAGAGGGATAGAGAGGTAGAAGAAAGAAACATCCATGATGAGAGAGAATTGTGGACTGGCTGCCTCCTGCACGCCCCCAACTGGGAATCGAGCCCACAACCGGGCATGTGCCCTGACTGGGAATCAAACCGTGGCCTCCTGGTTCATAGGTCAGCGCTCAACCACTGAGCCACACCAGCTGGGTCCTGGCATTAGTTTAGATTTCACCTTTCTCCTTCACACCACTCCACCCAACTCCTCAGCACACCCTGCAGTGCAACCTTAGAACAGTCCACACCTCGCCAACTCCCCTGCTGCTGCCCCTGGCCAGCCCTTCTCCTCTCACCGGGATTCTGGCCTCCTGACAGGTGTCCTGCGTCTGCCCTTGTCCTCTGTGGTCCATTCCAAAGCAGTGGGAGGAATGACCATTTAAAAACACACCTCAGCCAAAACCGGTTTGGCTCAGTGGATAGAGCGTCGGCCTGTGGACTGAAAGGTTCCGGGTTCGATTCCGGTCAAGGGCATGTACCTTGGTTGCGGGCACATCCCGGTAGGAGGCAGCTGATCGATGTCTCTGTGCAGGAGGCAGCTGATCGATATCTCTCTCTCTCGTCGATATTTCTAGCTCTCTTTCCTCTCCCTTCCTCTCTGTAAAATATCAATAAAATATATATTTTAAACACACACACACACACACACACCCCGCAGCGGGCCTATGCTCAAAATCCTCCCTGCCGCCCCCCACTGCTGTCACTCAGGCCTCCTCCTCCATCCCCCCTGGCGATCCCTCCTGCTGCTCTCCCACCTGCTGCAGTAACTTGGTCCCTGCCGCAGCCACACTGGAAGCTTGCTGCTTCTCATGCAGGTCAGACTTGTTCCTGCCCCAGGGCCTTTGCACTGGTTCTTCCCGCCACTGGGAGCACTCACCTCCCCAGGAGTCTGGGGGTTCAGTCCCACACTTCATCTTCATCTTCATTTAGGACAGCTACCCGCAGTCACAAGTCCGGGCTGCAGCCTCTTGCTGTCATCTGACCATTGTTGGCTCTCCGCTCTCAGCTTGAGCCTGAGGTCAGGGCGCACACCGTCACTCAGCCCCCCTGTCACAGAGGGGATAACGGAGGCCAGGGCTGGGCAGGTGTGCCCACCTCTCACCACCGGTGGGCATCGCTTTGATCTGCTACCTGTCTCCTGGCACAGGAGCTCCAGTGGCTCCTGCTGGGCTCATGGGATGGACTGAGGTTCTCCTGCTCCCTGCGCGCCCTCTGGGCCTGGGCTCATTGCTTCCGCTGAAGCCAGCCAGGATCCCGGTTAAATTCCTGAAATGGCAGGGGCGGAGCAGAGCCTCGCCAAACAGGTTTTTGTTCCTCAGCCCCAGGGAGGCAGCGCCACCGCTTGTGGCCTCGAACAATGGCCCAATGTTTTGGAGGGACCTGGGGTGACAGGCAACGGGCCCAGGGCCAGATCAGAGCTGTGTCTGCCCAGCCTGCCCAGAGAGCCGCCTTCCCTCCGGCCCAGAGGCCCACCCTCAGCACCCCGCCACCTGCTGTGGCCGTGGGACCCCTGGCCGTGGGTCCCCAAGAGAGGGATGGAGGCCGTGGTGCCTGACTGAGGCAGAGCCCCGGGCGTGGGCTGGGCCATGGGCTGATTGAAGTAGCCCGAGAGCTACCGTGGAGGGCGCCGAGTGAGGCTTCCGGGGACACAGACCTGGGCAAACGGCAGGCAGTTGCTCGGGGCCTGGGGCGGGCACAAGGTCAGACCCAAGGAAGGGCATTCCTCTGCGAGACCCCCCACCTCCCTCCCGTCTAGCTTCCAGAAGGGGGTCGAGGCTGAGGCTGTCCGCCCTGCAGAAAGCAGAGTCCAGGAGGGCAGAGGGGACCCGGCCAGCCCTGCCTCAGCGCCCAGAAGGAGGGCGGAGGGGGTGGCAGTGCCGCCAGGATAGCCCTGAAAATTTGGGGAGGGCTTCTCCAGGAACCCCGCGTCCTCGACCTGCTCAGCTTTCAGGTCAGGCCCGCTCCGGCGTCTGACTCCAGATCTCGGGATCCAGGCTCCCCTGCCGCCAGCCGTATGACCTTGAGTTTAACTAACCTCAGAGACAGCAGTGGGGACACCCAGCTCCGAAGCCGGCTTTTGCTGTTTGCCATGTGCAAACGCCTCCCCTTCCCCACCACCTATAATTACCACCCCTCCCTTGTAACCAGCCCCCTGGTGTACTGCCCCTCAGCGAAGGGTCCACGGCAGAGCTAAATCTCACACCCAGTCTTTGGCCTCCTAGACCAGGGCTTCCTCTGTGGCTTCCAGGCAGGAGGCATTCATCCATTTTGATCCCCTTCTCAGTGTGAGGCCTGGGACCCACGCAAGTGGACACATCTCACAGCCCTGCCTGTGGGGAGAGAGACCCGGCCTGGGAAACATTTAAACTTCCAAGGCCTCAGTGTCTCAATCTGTGAAATGGGGCTTACAACACCGGCTGAGCCCATGGGGATCCACAGCAACAGTCCAGCCTGGGGAGGGGGTCAGGG